CCCACCCACCCACAAGGCTCTGTTGATTTTTTTTTTCCAGACCCAGAGGAAGACATGGTGGTTGTGCTCGCCGACTACCCACCTCCTGACGTCAGCGAGCCCATCTTCAGGATCGGAGAGAAGCTTGGCATTGTCGCTCAGTATGCACACATCATGACTGCATTTTTTTTTTTCAAAATGTCAATTCAGAGCAGGAGCGACTCCTATTTCTCTTTTTCTTTCCAGGCAGGGGTACTGGTGGAAGGTCCGTTCGCTCCAGACAGGAAAAGAAAACTACATCCCTGGGATCCATGTGGGCAAAGTGTATCACGGGTACGTACAGTGTAAGGCACAGGTGTCAAAGTCAAGGCCCTGGGGCCAGATCTGGCCCACCACGTCATTTTATGTGGCCCGCGAGAGCAAATCAAGCATGTCCAAGTTCCATGATACTTGCTAAAGTCTGAACCAAAATTTCAAATTGTCATCTGTAATCCACAAATAACAGTCATTATTTTGACTTCTGATTTGAAAACTAGTTATCCATCAATTTGTTGTGCGCTGTGTATGTAATATGTGGCGGTGATGAAACATTTATATGGTTTCCCCAAATTCATAACGGCCCTCGAAGGGAAACCGTAACTATAATGTGGCCCGCGACAAAAATGACTTTGACACCCCTGGTGTAAGGAACACATTGCATGGATCAGGCTTATACAGCGGGGTGCTCCTTGCTCCATCAGGTGGCTTTTCGAAGGGGTGACGAGACAGAAGGCAGAGGAGCTTCTGCTTCTACCCGGGAACAGGGTCGGCTCATTCCTGGTACGGGAGAGCTCCACAGAGCAGGGTGAGGAAGACCAGTCTGGTAGCTCATATGAGATGACCTTATACACTACGTGGTAGCTATTCTGAAGTCCAAATATTTGGGGGTGGGGGAGGAAGGATCCTGGATTTTGAGATTTGCTGCGTTCAGATATGAGCCTCTTCATCTTTGCTTTCATGACAAACGCTTCCACTTGTCTGCGGCCTTTCATGACTCATGGGACTGCCTCCAATGACGAAGCGCGATATAAAGCACAACACGTTACAGCATCGCACTTCTGCTATTTGTCAATGCCGCCGCAACTTCCTGAAAAGAAGCGGAGCCTGACCATTTTTAAAAGCACCTTGTGTCTGTTTTTAGGGGCGTACGTGCTGTCCATAAAGCACAGCGTGATACGGCACTATCGTATATGCCGACTGGACAACAGCTGGTACTACATCTCCCCTGGCCTTACCTTCCAGTGCCTGGAAGATATGATCAACCACTACTCTGGTGAGGGCGTGTACAAAAAATAAAAAAAAACATGAAGATGCAGGCCCGAGATGTGCGTTAATTACCGTATTTTCCGCACTATAAGGCGCACCTAAAAGCATTCGATTTTCTCAAAAGCCTTACAATCCGAATCACCTTATATAAGGATCGATATTCTTACGTAGCATTTTAAATGTTCTGGAAAGCGCCTTGTTACAACTGCAGCGGTGGTGAAAGCGGTAAATACTGTAATTAATTCCTTCAGCGTAGCTCCATCTGGTGGATGCATAACGCCACCGCAGCCACTATTGTAGCTTCGATTCTACCCGCCTTATAATGCGGTGCGCCCTGTATATGAAAGCAGTATTAAAATAGGCCATTCACTGAAGGGTACGCCTTCTACTCCGAAGCGCTTTATAGTGCGGAAAATACGGTATGCTGAACGGCGATGTCGTTCTTCCTTTCAAGAGTTTGCGGACGGCCTGTGCTGCGTGTTGACGTCACCGAGTCAGTCGAACCGAACAGCGCCACCGACAGCGGTTCCGTCGGTTGTTATGAGACGCCACGTCGACGGGAAGAAGAAAGACAGGTAACACCGGAAGGACGGCGGCCACGACGTGCAAACACTCATTTACATAGACTTTTTTTTTCCTTCCCAGGCCACAAGTGACCAGCATGGGTGGCCAAAATGACAACATGCTGAGTTATGGTGTCCGGAGCAGCATTGCTGCCTATCTGTCCTTCTCCGAGTGTGAAGAAGCCCAAAGCATGAGGCAGGAAAGCAGGCAGAAGAAGAGCAAATCCTTTTATGTGCTCCCCGAAAATTAACCCTTTCATGCCCGCCCCCTGTAACCTGCTAATATGATAAGCTCTCCGCTGTAGTAACCACTGTCCCTGAAAGGGTTAAAACTTTTTGCTGGCCTTAGGAGACTTTCATATAGGTGATGGATCACTTTATCCACTGGTCGAAAGAGTCACACTGGACTGGGGAAATTTCTGTTGTTTCCACAATCACGTTCTTTTTTTTTTTTCTCTCTCTCTCTCTTTCCCATGATGACTGCAACGACTGGAGATGTCGTTTATTTAAATTTCCTCACAAACATCCGGCCGGGCTTGTGACTATTTCCCCCGGTGTCAATGCACCATCCTATCACTCAATAGCTCAACTCAACTCAACTGTATTTATAGAGCACTTTCAAACATCCATCGCTGCATACAAAGTGCTGTACATGGAGCAATTTAACATATACAACAAACAGTAAAACAAATCGGTAATAAAGACGGTAGAAAGCACCGAACAGCAAAACCAAGAACAAATCTAAGTCATGCTGAGTCGCACACACAATAGCTGTGTGACATCCTATTCTGTATTCGATGATTGCGCCGGCGCAATATCAACGTTTAGCCGTTGGAACAAAAGCAAACATATCGTTTGGACTTTATAAGCACAAACATGGTGTCTAAATAAAGCCATCGAGTTTGTGCTGATGAGCGGTGGCCTGGCTGGGCGAGCCAGTCGGTCGGTTATTGGGGGGTGGGGGGGAGTTGAGTTGTTCAAAACCGGGAGACGTCTCTTTTTTTCCGGCATGGTCTATATGGCGTTGGCTTGTCAAGAAAACAACTCGCCGGGTGGGACACGTCACACCAGATGTGTTGCGTTGATTGACAACGGCGAGGTCCTGCTTTGCTGGCTTCAGTGTGAAAGATGCGGGCCAATAAAATATTACGAAAGAGGCTTAAGAGGGCTGCGTCACCCGGTGAAAAACTGTGCAACGTGTCCACGTTTTTGCAAAGACGACCCAAACGGTGTGAAGAAATCCCGCATGTGCATCTTTAACCGGATCGGCTCGAAAAGTTAATGGCTTCTTCCTTGTAGCTTTTTTACAAGCTCGCGTGTTCATGAAAGCGCGAGAGCAGACGTGCTCAGCGTTTTGTTGAGGTAAAAAGCGCAGGATCAAATAATGTCCGCTCTCGTTAAAAAAAAAAAATCAACCTTGTGTGTGTACGTGTGACTAGTCGGCAGAAAATCTCCTCACCTCCTGTAGGCGCTTTTCCACCGCCGGGTCATTTTCGGGGGGGAATCTTCAGAAGGGTTCTGCTCTCTTGTAGCCAAAATATGAGCAAGCCGGCCCAGTCCACTGCACACAGTGTTAGAAATTGCGATCAACGGAATTCCGAGCTCTGCGGAGATTGCGTTTAAGAATATTTGACAAGGGCAAAATGAATTTTTGGGATGCACTTAAAACCATAATAAAAAACTTGAAGCTCTTTCTGAAATGAATCGCTCTCTCTGACAGCTAGCTATGTTCAATTTTGGTAAAGGTACATCACATCTTGACTTGCAATGGTATTTTTTTTTCTCTCTCTATTTCACATAAGCATGCGCGCGCACACACACACACACACACACACACACAACTTTGTGATCATTTTCAGCCATTCTGACCACACCCCACACTGTAATGAGTATTTTTAGCACCGCCATAGGACCTATAGAAGACGATTTGGGAGACCACACCACAACTTAAACAATCCCACAATCTTCTTCCAAGACGACTTTGGGCGATTGTTCGGAGGCGCTGTGATCAGTTCAAAGTAGTTAAAAGTAACTATTTTACGATTGAAATGCCTAAATAGAAATGTTGTGCATCTACAGTGAAACTCCTCTACAATGAAATCATGTTTGCAGCAAGACATTTTTCACAACAGGGGACTTTTCATTGTAGCAAATTTGATCTCAGACGTAAACACGAACACACGCAAAAAACGTGTATGTGTACTTTTTATTTTTATTCCAATAGTGCATAAGTATGAGCATACACTTATTTGACACTTCATATAGCCAGCGTAGAAAGAAAAAAAAGGTAAAGAAATTGCGAAATTTACGATCAGCATTTACTTTCACTTACATCAATTTCTTGCATAATGTCTTTTATTTTGCTTCCTCCATACTTCATTTTTATTACCTTTATCCTGTCTTCAAGTTTTTCTTTTCTTAACTCCTTGGTATGCAAAGGTCCGTTTTGTTGCCATTTTAGCAATGCAACGTTCGTGCTGCGTCTGAAACAAATACTTCCTGTACTACTGCGCATGTGTAAACCAGTGTGGCGGTTGCTGTTGCCGTTTCCGAACGAAGCAGTAGAGGTCGCTGTGGCATGCTGAGGTTGAATTAGACTTTTGCGGAAGGCTTGTTTTCGTTGTAGTGAATGTCGTTGCACGGCAAGAGCAGAGAAAAAGAGTTCGTATAACGGAACGGGGACTTTTCATCATAGGGGAAGCAGAAAAGTGGGAATAGCTTTCATGCATGAACATTTTTTCACACTAAGGGGTATTTTCGCCCATGTAGGTTTCGTTGTAGAGGAGTTTCACTCTATTTGATTTTTTTTTCTGCCTTATCAACAAATGATTTGGCCCACCTACTCATTCAAAAAAAGTCACATTTGGCCCTCAAAAGTTTGTCCACCTCTGCGGTAGGTCGTGACGTTGTACCAAATATTCTGACCTGAGTAAAATATGTCCGGAGAGGAAGGAGAGAAAGTCGGGTTGAGAGAGAAAGACAGAGAAAGAGAGAGAGAGAGATTGTGTACAGATCTTCCTCGTCTAATCTCCACATCCTCACAAGCAGCTGTCCAAACATCTGACCTCACCTACAGGATGGAAGGTTGCAAACACTCCAAATCAACGTTTGCTTACGCCTACATGCACTTTGTACTTTCTTCCAGGCTAATTAAAAGATGATTTGAGCATGAGCTTCACTTTTATCCTATGTACAAATAAACTGTCCGTAAAACACAACTGGTAATTGAGGGCCTAAAACAGTCATTTAAAACTTTAAAATAGAGATTTTTTTTTTTTTTTTTACATGAACGGTAACAATGTTATCGCAACAAAGCAAACAAGTTATTTATTCCAAAACAATTTGAGTTGTTTTTTTTTTTTTACTAAAATCTTTCAGTTGGGGTCAAAAAGAAAGGCCAACAGTAAACTGTAAACCCGTACTTCTTTGTTCTGACATGTGTGAAAGCCAACTTGAACAAAAGGAAAACTGAACCAATGAGTGACATTCCCAAACCCAAATTAAACGTTTATCGACGTTTGTTGAGTTCACCCAAAGCTTTTTTTTCCTCCCTTCTAAACAGAGTGATTAAGGGCCACTTGGGTGCTACAAAGTGAAACTAATGCAATAGCCCATGTATTTTGGGTGCAAAAAGGAAGTTCTCACCCAAAATTTGAGTCTGGCCATTTCCCTTGTTGCCGATTCAAATATGTTCTATTTCTCGAAACATGCATGCAAATGATGAGAACCACAAAAAGGACACAAATACATAACACCACATTTCCATTGGTAACCACCAGGGTACTGTACTAGGTACTGTATTTTTTTTATTTTTTACAGAAGCAATCACTTGCATCTGAATCAGGTGACATTCACGGCACTACTGTTGCAAAATTCCTCTGAAATTTTGGACTTGTTAAATTCTCGATAACGTAATGTTGCGAAACGGGGTGCAATTTAGCACTTTACTGGAATGTCATAAAATAAGACTGGGAATGTGTGCTGAGGGAAAATAAGTCCATTTTTTTCATTGAAAAAAAAATGGCACTTTACATTACATTTTATGTTTTTCCTTGTAATTCTTTACCTCAATAAATCACTCCTACTGACGGTAGAACGCTTTAATTTTCCCTCTGGTGATCATTTTAGGATTATTTTATCATAGAAGAGCCATCAAGCACCACATTAGCACGTTGTTACTCACGAGGTGAGATGCTCAATGTGAACTAATGTTAATGGGGATTTGGTTCGGGGGGAAAACGGAGGTCATATTTTGAAAGAAAACAAACATTTGCATGTGGAAAGTCTCGGTGCAGCCGAAGAGGAGGGAAGGCGAGCTGGAGCTGTTCTGGGAAGACATTCGAGAGAATATTTGGATCCAATTTTAAGATCTTTGATCTCACCCTGAAGAGCCAAATGGCTCCACAAAATGTCTTCGGTTTGTCCTCCTCCTGTTTCCTCTTCATCTTCGTCTTCTGTTAAGGTACGATTTGACGCCTGCGAGTCTTCACGAGGCTGGCTGCTGACTTCATGTTTATTCATGTCTGCCTTGTAAAAAAAAAAAAAAAAAAAAAAAAAAAAGTTGTGATGAGTCAGTAGCCCTGCCTTATGACAAACGTGGCAAAGGAGAAACAGTTGCGGTGATTAAGGCAAAATTAAGGATCGGCGGTGGTTTAAACAGGCCACCTGAAACCTCTTAAATGCCTCGAAGGGGATTGGGGGGGGGGGGGCACACGCTAACTCTGCATCCTCCCAGGCTGAGTGTGCGTTCTTTCCACTGCTGTTGGCTTCTCCACTCAACTGGCTGAAGCTTCTCGAGGGGAAACGACACGAGGAAAAATTACCAGCGGGGACCAGTCTGCCGACTGACTGGCTCGAGTGACGGTGAAGATGAACAAGGTGGATGAAATCAAGACAGGGAGTAGCCAAGTGATGGATGGCGGAATATCCACACTCCGTATCGGAACCCACCGTTTTTAAAATGAAAAAGAAAAACGTGTTCTCGTCGGCTTAAAGTCCTACGCTAAGAACAGGAAAATGCTCCGTGTCCTATTAATCATAACCAGAAGCAGCTGCAAGCAGTTGGGACGCTCTCAATCATGCCCATGAGCAGGACTGACGCTAACAAAATGCTAACCAAAAGACTCCAGAGTAACAAGCAACATCCAAGCGAATTCGAAACAGCAGTGTCCACGTTAACAAAAAATATATATACAGATACATATATCCAACTGACAAATGGTTTGCATGCCAACAAGCAGCTACAACATTAGCGACGAGCTAAAAGTAGCGCCAGAACACAGGCAACTTCATCTTACAGTCTTGGCAAGTCATTTTACGTGCTTTACTTTTCAAGCTTTTGAAACCCTCACCCTGAGGGGGAGGAGTGGGTCTGCACTTGATGGAAATACTTCAAAAAGTCAAGAGACATTAAGTAAAATGTCTCATCGTAGATCTTCAAGAGGATTTATGCCCAAGTCTGTTATCGGCGAGTGATGATTGACTTTGACAGCCCGGCCCCCACCCACCCCCAAAAGGCACTTGCAAATGATTTATTAGCAAGCATTTAATACAGAGGACGCTTAAAAACACTAAAAGATTCAACCCGAAGATAAAGCACCTTTGCTATGTGAACTTTTTGAACAGGTCAACAATGTCACGGATGAGCTAATTGTTGCCATGGCAACCGCATAGCACACACACACACAAAAGCACTTTTGAGCGCTCCCTACACAAAGGTGTGGCACGCATAAAACGCTTCATTTTGACGAGTTTAGCAGTGGAATACGCGACAAGCTTGAAATCAAATGCACAAATGGTTAGAATTCCTCCGTACGCAAATTTGCAAAATGTGTTGCTGTCGTTGCAGCTCTTCCGAGAAATGGCTTTTTTTTTTTTCTGGCTTCCGATTGGCTGCAATGGTCTTACAATTTGGCCTCATTCGACTTGAATGCTCCATGTTGTGCTAGGCGCATCCTGATCTTGGCCTGTCTTCTTAAGTGTTTCATTATCTGGCTCTCCATGCTCCTGGACCGGGTCCACGTGGAAGGGGGCGGGGGGGGGGGGGGGGGGGGGGGGGGGGGGCTTCTGGCGAGGTGTTGCTCATGCCAAAAAAGAAGCCAAGTGTGGCGGTAGTAGCTGACGTGTAGCTGTGTGTGTGTTTGTGAATGTGTGCGGGCCTGTTGCAGCTGCAGACGCTCCAGCGACGATGGCCTGCCAGTGAACCTCTCGGGAAAGAGCGTTCCAACAGTAAATCGTGAAATGCGGGGAATGTACACACACTGACGGATACAAATAGACAACAGAGCACCGACAAACACTTCAGAATGCCCCGACAGGAATCATAGCGAGGCTAAAGGCGCCCCTCGAGGAACCGTTGACACTCAAGTGGGATTATTAGTGGACTCCAAGAAACATTTTCAAGTCCAAAATGGTGTGATAACTGCTTCAAACAACAAAGTGTAGCTCCTATATTTTGTTCCTGTACGTCTTCCTTTCATAACTTTGCTGCTGTGAATTGGGAATTTCTCCATTGCGAGACTAATAAAGGATTTCTTATCTTATCTTACAAGCTACTGTACCCTTAAAGTTAGCATAAAGTGTGACTGTGGCGCGTAGCATGTAGCAGCCGAAATATGGAACCATTTTGGGCAAGCTTGCTAAAATTTTATTACACTTGTCACCTTTAACAAGTCTTGACTATTATAAGAGATACATTGCCTTTGACAGAAATTTAAATTAAAAAATAAATAAAAAATCAGAGGCCAAGAGTAATTTTCCTGGTAGTCTCGCCAAGTGTTTTTTTGTGCCACCATTTTTTTTTTTTTTTTAATATCAAAACACCGCTGACCATATGCTTTTTGTATTCCAAGGCTGATGCAAGATTCTCCCTTTAGGTTACTATTTCCACCCAGCCATTGAATATTTTGTGTTGTGTGAGAGTCATGGGGGGAAAAAGGCAACAGAGCGGCCCTGACGGCAAAACTTTCCATCTCTGTGGTGGATGAACGCAGACGGTAAGATTGACGGAAAACTCATTTGGCCCTCAAACGTTCTCATGTACTCATCCTCTTGGTATTAATTGTAGCACACAAGGAGGATGCCATCATGATGACGCAACCTGTTATGACTGGAATGTGATTTATATGATATTTCTATATGATATCAGAGGTGGAAAAGGTAGCTCACATTATGTCCTTAGGCAGAAGTACAGACACTTGTGTCACAAAAAAAAACAAAATAACAAAATTGAGATGCTTGATCGAACTGAGTAAAAGTAAAAATGTACAGATTCTGAAATGGACTAGAGTACAAAAGTAAAACATATTCGTTACTGTCCAAAAAGCAGATCTCTCAGCTATCTAGTTTTAGGAATTTCACTGGCCAGAAACCAACACTGACGTTAGTTGTACTTGTATGACATCTAGTGGACAATGCGGAAAAATTGTTCAAATGCAGTGAGGCCGCATTCCTGGATGTTCTATGTCTCCCTGCTGCAACACACCCGATTCAAATGATCATAATCGCCGTTCAACCTTCTGCGGAATGTGATCGTTTGAATCGGGTGTGTTACAGGAGGGAGAGGTGGAAAACAGGCCAGGCAATGGTGCTGAAGTAAGAGGATTAATGACCCCTGGTTTAAGGGGGTCACGCAGTAACTATTCGCTGGAGACTATTTTGAATAGTAAAAAATGGGCAGTTGATTGACATGCTGTACCTCCTAAAATGTTTCGAATCGCCAATAGTCATAGTTTAAAGTGAAAATATAGCACACACTATGATTCCAAAGCACTTACCTGTCTGTCAAATGCTGCATCCATCAGCCTTTTGATAACATCAGTTAGCTTCTTATGAACGCCATTTGTTGACTTGGGGAAGCCAAACACCGGGATGAAGGTGCAGGCGAAATCCGGATAAGTGGTTCTTGACACCTGGGCTCGCCACTAGTTCAGCAATACGTGGGATCAGGATGACTGTTGACACGCCACATGAGACAGATCCGCCCCTAAAACAAGTCGATTGCAATAGGGCAATATTTTAAAAAATGGTGTAAAAATAATTTGGAATAATTATTGTTACATAGGACATTTTGACTAAATCTATGGCACGTGGAAATTGTTTGTAAAAAGTGTGACGTGTAAATATCTTAATAGTTTGGTGACATCGTTGGAAATGATGCTTGTTATACTTTGTGTTCTTCTTCTGACACCAAACGGGAAACGATATTTCAGCGTTTGCCATTATGATACTGTCTTACACAAACACACATTAGCAATGTTAGCAAAAAAAACAACAGTGACACCGAAAACAAATTCATTTTTTAACCCGCCTTGAATTCAAATTGTCTTTTAAATTATAAATGCCGACAAACATTTGCTAATCGTTAGTCGGACTGCACATGTCGAATTTTTGACAGATTAACATAAATGAGCGGCCTTCTACATTCCGTATATTTAAAATTGACCACGATTACCTGCTTTTTGCGTGGACGCGGAAGTGAAGAAACTTTCTGCACGTTTATTTTCAGGTGCGGGCAATATTCTTGTGTAACGCCGTTTCGTGACCGACGAGAAACATACAGTTTCAGTTTCTAATAAGGTAGAACATCGTTTTTCTCTTCTAATCTATTTCATGGACGACGACGAGGAGCACAAAGACGGTGGAGCCGCCGCGCCTTCGGTCATCGACCGTTACTACACACGATGGTACAGAGCCGGTAAATAAAAATAAAATGGTGCTCGTGTAACCGGTGTGTAAACTAGCTAGCTGTTAGCCTAGCTGGCGTGTTAAGTAGACTTGAACCTGAAGACCTGTCACAATAACAAAATGTCGTAAATTTCCGATTTGAAGTATATGTTAAGGTATGTTAAGGTTGGACACACTCGCGACGTTGCAATATTTGAGGGGGAAGTAAGCTGAAACTGGATAAATTATGTTCTGTTATTGCTTTATTGTGAGTGTTGTATTTTATACATAATGCATATATTTCGTAGATATGAAAGGAAAGCCATGTGAGGACCACTGCATCCTTCAACATTCAAACAGGTAACTCTTTCTTCTTTAGTATTATAAAATAAGGATTGACCATACGTGTCATAAATAAAATTTTGAAAAAAACTCTCTTGTATGGCTGTATATTCAGAATATGCGTCATCACTTTGGCCGAGACTCACCCGTTGCTGGAAAAAGGGCGAACCATCTCAAACATCGATTACCAAATCAGTAATGGCTGCAGTCGCTTAAACAACAAAGTGTCCGGAAAGTCCAAGCGAGTAAGGTTATACACCCCGGCTGTGTGCATTTCAGCTTGTCATTTTACTCACTTTCCTTGCTTTGTAATCACCAGGGAGGTCAGTTCCTTACCGAATTTGCTCCTCTATGTCGGATAACATGCACAGACGAAACCCAGTTCACCATCTATAGGTGAGCCCTCCATTGTATATCCCAAATTCTTGTGTAAAGGATTTTCATTAGTCTGAATCTGTGGATGTGGCAGCTGCATCAGGGGACGACTTCTGGAAGTCAATGAGAACATTCTGGAAAGACCCGCTCTCTTACAGGAGAAGGTAAATACAAAGCCAATTCCAATGAAGTTGAGACATTGTGTGAACCAGAAATAAAAACAAAATACAGTCCAACCTATATTTAATTGAATACACGACAAAGACAAGAAGTTTAATGTTCAAACTGAAACTTTTTGCCTGCAGTCCAGACCCTTTTCCCAATGACAATGACTGTTTAACAGCTCAAGCTGTACATCAAGCAAGAATGGGAGAGTATTCCACCTACAAAGCTTCAACAATTAGTGTCCTCAATTCCCAAACATTTCTTGAATGTTGGCAAAAGAAAAAGTCATGTAACATAGTGGTAAGTGTGACGCCGTCCCAAGTTTTAGAGCCATAAAATTTTAAGTTGATTATTTTCAATAAACCAAGTTTATCAGCCATTAAATATAGGTCTAAAATTATTCACACATCACTGTATACTGATTTTGTTTAACACAATGTCCTGACTCCATTGGAATTGGGCTTGTTTGTCTAAAAATGTCAAACGACATTTGTAGTGCTTTGTGCACGCAGCCATCAACGGACGGCTACATCGCCGTCATCCTGCCCAAGTTCGAGGAGAGCAAAAGCATCACAGAGAACCTTCTGAGCAGAGACGACTTTGAAAAGCTCGTCGCCGGACGGGACGCCGCGCAGGCAATGGGCGTAACACAGCAGTCATGACGAAGCTTCGCGTGAAACTGAAATTAAATCGTGGAAGAAGAGTTGCACTGTGCCTTCAGGTCAGCATACATGCCACTTCATAGCGTACAAAAATGCCTGTGAATGTTCGGCATGAGGTCGTTCGGTTTTGGTGCCGACATTGTGAAATGGACTTTTTAGACATTTGCATCTGAAAAAGAGAAAGCAAGTCTACCTTTGAGGTACATCTGGAAATGGGGAAAAATATCTTGGTCATGGTTCTGGAGCCTTTTTTTTTCCTCAGGTCTAATCATGATGGCAACAGCAATTTAAGTTATGAGTTGACTGTTTTATAACATACCTCACCACTATTTACTGCCCTCAGTCCATGGCCAAAACAAAAATATTTCCCAATGTAATGTTCAAAATTGTAGTCTTCTTTTGAAGAGCTTTTGTAAATGGGACAAAATGACTCTAAAATGGCCACTTTAACCCAAAATGGCTGACTTCCTGTGTCTTTTTGGACATGGCCTCTTGAGACTTTGTCAACGCTCAAATTTCACATTGCATCTTGTATTGGATCTGATACCCATCGGAGTTTGTATATAGTCAAAATTAGTTTGAAAGCCTTATTTATGGTTTAATTTTTGGTCGATGGAAAAATCATCTTTACTTAAAACAACCAACACTGATTTAATAAAAAATATTGTTTATTTTTGTTTCCATCGTGTCATCTTTTTTTTTCCTTACTATAATCCAAAACTAGAGCTATGATTTCTTCACCTGTGAACCACCTCATTACAGTACTCGGCATCCTTAGCTGCTCACATTCTGAGACAAACGACAAAAAGCATCTCAGCACAAAATTGCTCCCGAGCATTCCACGTACATTTCCAAGTACCATCCAACATTTGCGTCGTGCGTAATGCTAACCAATCACTCGTTAGATCGCCTTTGGCAATTAACTGTAATTTTTTTTTTTTGTCCTTACATGGCACATAGTGTGCAACAGAGTAGCGCAAAACTGACACACATCAAGACAATCACGTAGCTGGTGTGCAGCGACACTTTGTGTGGATATAAATAGTCTAGTGCCAAGTTTTTGGCAAACAGACCAAGATAAATCATTTAAAAACCCTTTCCATCATTCTGACTTACAACCTGTGCAACTCATCTGAAAACATATTTTTGGAGCGGCTGAGTAAAAATACAGACAATGCAGTTGCACAAGTGTGCACACCCTCTTATAAGGATGTGTACGTGTTCAGATTGAACGAAACACATTCACATCCCGAGTTATAAAAGGGTGTGCACACTTTTGACCTCTTGTCAGTTTTTTCATTTGAGTTAAAATGATTGACCTTGGTATATATTTTTTTAAATCTCACAAATAAGATTTTGAACAGAGGTGTGAAGAATTCCATCCCCAGTGTGTACAACACAAAACAAGCAGGTGCGACACCAACCAAGGACAGCATGAGTTCTTTCTCTGTTTCAGCAGTTTTGTCACCAGCCCTGTCGCTGTCACGGTAATGACACGGCCGTCCCCAGGCCAGAGTGCGTATTACTTGCTCTCCAGCAGGTTGAGGCCGGCCATGTGCTGCACTGTAATTTTGACGACAAAGTCGTCATGGCGGTTGCCATTGCTGCTGCCGCTGTTGCTGTTGTTGTTGTGGAGCACAGCGTCACCGTCTTGGACCGGCGTGTCGGTTTCCGAGCGCCAGTCCTGCGGCGAGCCCAGACTGCTCCGTTTGTACTTGTACTGCGATGAGGATATGGAAAGCTGCTTGAGTATTTATTCGATATCCTTGATATCCATTTTGCGGTCGATGCACTAGTAATACTCTTTGTTCTCAATGCACTTGAAGAGCAACTGTATAGAATAAATGTTCCAATGGACTTCCCGCGAGAAAAAAAAAACTCCAGCAAGAAGCGACCATGTATTTTATTATTTTTATATATGTTCAAGCTTTATGCATAATGCAGTATTCCCACCTATGGACTTCTGTCAAATAGAAATTCCCTTACCCGGAATAAAAACCTATGCATTAAAATTTGGAAGACGTTAAACTTATTACATTAACGATCGATTCATAACAACAGAAGTTCCGGTACGCGCAACCCGGAAGCCATACGGAAACCCGCAGTAGCGCAAACCGGTACCAAAATCCAGGTGCAGTTATTGCTTTTGTCCACTTGGGGTCACCACCCTCACGTTCTCCACTAGTATCCGTTGGCTTTTTTTCTCTTGGCTTGTGCTTATTGCGACGCGAACCTAAAGCAACAGTCCGTGCGGAAACATATAATTGTCACAGCAAAATTAAGCGATCGAGAAAATTAGGTATTATTTAAAAAAATAAATGTGTGAAAGTGAAACCGCAAAAAGTGAAGCACGATATGACGTGACGAGGCACACCAGTCCAACCAGACTCCCACTGTAGAATGAAATTTCGAGTAGTAGGCTAAACTGTACTGTGCTAGTGAACAACTGCGTGCACCTACCATCATTAATGACAGGATAGAATTATTTAATACAGTTATTGTATATATTATTTGTCTTTGTGTGTATATATGTCACCTTTGCGTTGAGCTTGTAACATGCTGGAAGGATGTTCAGGAGAAGGCTCAACACGCTCCTGGTTGTCTGAATTGACGAGTCCACCTGACGAAACAATACAGGAGCCCTCAGGAACAACTCTGTGCTCTTTTGACACGACTCAGCTGCTCCCACCGGTTTTCAATAGGATTCAGGTGTGAAGTGAAGCCCAGTTCCATACCGACTGGACACACCTGCCCACACTAACACTGCCACCACCAAAAGCTCAGTGGCTGATACATAGCGGTCTCCTTGACGTCTTCAACATCGTTGGCGGTCATCATTTCCGCTCAACGAGAATAGACTATCATCAGAGAGTAGCACTGAGGCCCACTGGTGCCTCGTCCAGCATAAATGCTCCCTGGCCGAGGCAAAATGATGACGCCTGAGCCTGGTGGTATGGTCAGGTACTCCTGCAGGTCGTTTGGCATGCAGACCACGCTCATGTAAATGGTTTCGAATGGTCTAACGTGACACTTGGGTGCCTCTCAGCTCCCTTAAACGTCCCTGGAGTTGAGTGGTATTCATCATCCGGGTTCTCATGGCATTGCTCACAATGCAGCGGCCATTAGCATGAGATGTGGCTAAAGGACGTCTACTTCTACATCTTTCTGTGACTCTTCCAGTCTCTCGGTTTGTCTGTTGCAACCTGCTGATGACACTCTGTGCCGCTCTAAGCTCAGTGGCCACTTCCGTCTGAGAACATCCTGTTTCAAGCGTCACAATTGTAAGGTACTGTTGATCCTTTGTTCGGTGCCATCTTGGTCTCAGGATGTCAAAATGTGAACGACTGTTTAAACACCAGCTGTAATTATATATCCTTAATTTTTTTCCGCGTAGTGTGTGTACATAAACGGCTTATTTCTCAAGTAAGATTTGTGTAAATGAGTACATCTCCTTTCCTGAGGTCCAACTCATTGGTGTTGGAATATCAAGCCAATACAGTAAAATTGGACATTTTACTAAAGCCAGTCGAAGAAAAAAAAACAAGGTGTGTTTATTTTTATTTTGTATGAGATCAAATGTGGACCATGTAGCTGTATCGTACCTTCTGGAAGGTGGCACTTTTGCCGTGCACGGGGGTCCTGGCACCCGCTTGTAGTTGTTGACACAACACGGCCAGCTTCTCCACCTCTGACGTCAGCGCCAACTTCTCCTCACCAACCAGATAAAAAGAGAGATTTAGTAGAAGGGGGGGGGAGTCCTTCTTCCGACAGAACCTGGAGAAGACAAGAACGTTGAAAACAAACAGGAAAGAAAGAAAGTGATTTCAGCAAGGCGAAGCTGTTTTGCCGGTAAATACCTGTGTGCAGAAGACGTGCAGGGACGAGCACAGCTGGAGTCCTTCTTCCGACAGAACCTGGAGAAGACAAGAATGTTGAAAACAACAGGAAAGAAAGAAAGTGATTTCAGCGAGGCGAGGAGGTGCGTGCCTCATCTTCGCCGGAATCAATCCCAGAAAAAATGACAAAAGGCGCGGGGATGAGAAGGACAAGAACAGATGAACAACAAATTCCCCACAATGTCTTGTGACAAGACGGAAAAATTATTTCCCATTGCCGGGCTCATGTCAGATTTTCTTTCCCCATTGAAATTGATCCAAATCCTTTCCTCAAAAAAAATCCCAATTTTTGTTTTTAACAAAAATAAATAAATAAATAAAAATCAGATCTGGTAAATAAAAACAAAACACAAATAAGGGATTGGGTTAAAAAAACAACAATTGGGGTTTCAATGAGGCGTAATCGCAAAATCCACACCGCTAATATTTCGGAGGCCACTGTCCATCAAGACAACCGCTCAATAAACTGCAGTAATATCAGTCGTTCTACACAGAGGATGAAGAATATATGCCTGTAAATATAGTTTCATTTTCTGCATCTTAGTACACTGCTTGTGTTCATATATCCATTGCTTCAAGGGTTTACTACCGCCAACCGTAATGCTAGTTTCGTTAGCCCGTCTATGCCGTTTTGCATTGTAAACTTGAAGCCAATAGACTTTTCTTGATGACGTTTGCCACTACCCTCTACACTCAATTTTCAGATTTTTGCTCACACAGAAGCATTTCCGAGGTACCGTTTTAAATTGCGTCACTCATTGAGGTACGAGAAGAAGAACTACCTCAGCTTGATGGAAAAGATCGAGTGTGGTCTTGAGAAGCCCCTCCCCTCTGGGAAAGCAAAGCACAGAAATGAAGCCACAACCTGATTGAACACAAAGCTATGAATGACGACGACTGTACGTCTTCCGCATGCGAACCTGGTAAAGAGGTACATGTTGTAAGCCATGCTGGCCACGCTCTGGCTGTGGCGGACCACCTGCTGCTCTTGCTCCTCCCACTTTTCGAGCTCGGCGTCAACGTCGGATGACAACAGACGCAGCTCCAAGCCCACTTTGGCCATGCTGCTCTGCTCCTGTACACCAAGCACAAAACGCACGACCGCCGCAGTTCTCATTCGTTCAGGCTTGAGAAATGAATTAAGGAATAAGGGAATCCATAACTACTTTGACTACCCTGTCCAACAGCGACCTTTTCATGACTATAAATCACCCTAATACATTCGCAGACGCGTGGCCTTACCTCAGGGTCCAACTTAACCGGCTTGGCGCTCTTCATATTAGCAGAATGCTTCTGCAAGTAAAATAAATAAATCATATATTGTTGTTGTTATTATTATTATATTGGATAGAGTGGGCGGCGTGCTACTCACTCCGGATCTGGGAAGTGACAAATACGTTCTTTTGTCTCCTGTAAACACAAAAGCAGATTGAACTCATTCAGTGGCTGTTCGTACCGGTGCAATCGCTTAGGGCAGAGGTCCCCAACCTTTTTTGCCCCACGGACCGGTTTCATGTGAGACAATATTTTCAGGGAATGGCCTTTAAGGTCGGGTAGATACAACAATCTAACATGATATGACCTGCATGAAAAGTGTGGTATTTTCAAAATATAATAATAAACCTGAATCATTACACCAGGAACGTCCTATCTGGCCTCAACATTCTCTGGTCGCTATGGTAACGTTTAAACGTGCCTTCAAAATAAGATACGCCGCAAATAAAAAGTGCATGAAAAATACGACTCACCATCGTCGCTTATTATGCAGAGTAGGCTTGGTGCGTCTCAATCTCCCGTTGAGATAAAGCCGGATTTGAAATAAGACTCCTGATACTGTCTTGAAAGTCGTAGGTTCCTCTTCTGTCGCCTTTTCCCCTTCCCGAAAAAACTTTTCATTTTGCTAGCTCCTAGGTTTCATTTCCTATCACGTGACCGAGAAGCGCACATTCATCTGCGTCAAGAGTGACATACTGTCGACTGATATAACAGAGAATCCAGTAATTTTTCAAAATAAAACATCTTTCAGATTCCAAAATGCAAGTTATTTATTCTTTCTGTGCGGCCCGCACCAAATGACCCACAGACCGGCACCGGTCCGCAGCCCGGTATTTGGGAACCCCTGGCTTCCGGTACATTATTTTAATTTTTTTTTTAGGCATACCGCTGAGAATTTAGGACGCTTGCAATGAAAAAGGACGGCACATCACACCTCTCTGAATCGTTCCCGATGAAAAAAAAAAAAAAAAAAAAAAAAACAAACGACCTAAGATGACCTTGGCACTGAATGCTTTGATTATAACGCACGACTTCAATTCTTCTTGGGAATGACTGAGTTGCTGAACATGAAAACAGACTCTGACTGTCCCAGTTTTCATCGGAGCGCCGTGTACCTCGCTTCCCCTCCAAGACGTCGTCGATCTCGCGCAGCAGCAGCGCCACATCACCCAGCTGAGACTCCCAGGCCTCACAGAACACCTCCAGGTTCTCCTTGGCGATCTTACTGGATGGGTGCAGCGCCAGGGTCTGCGCCGCCGAAATGATCTGGAAAAGCCATGTCGGAATACCTGACATATTACAATGTGGAACTGAAATGATATTTAGGATTATGAATACATTTTCAGATTCTCGTGATTTTCTTTTAATATATTCTGAAAATGATGTCATCGTGACAGCCGGCGTTAATACAATAGTAACGGTTTAAAAAAAACATGGGTGTTAATTCGTCCCACAGGAATTGAGGTCACCTCCCCGGGGGTGTTCTCATTAATAGCCAATTAGCCTGGTGGGCTAACAGCGTAGCGCCTGGTGCTGCTGCATTATTGACGGCCTGACTTTTCACCTCGGCAGCCGTCTAGTCATTACGGCGTACATCCCGCCTGGAGGACTGTACCGGATAATTACCACCACGGACAATTTCCCACAGCAAATACGATTAGAGGAGGGTGAGGTGGACGCTCTGTTCTCAGACATGTCGGACGTCATTTATCTGCTGCCGCTCAACAAGATACAGGCAGCGTGGAGGTCAGTTCTATCGAGCGATGTGGTGCAAACCTGCGGGCCAATCACATGGAAGGTCTCTTCGGCATGCACGCAGGTGATCTCCAGCGGCTCGGTCCCGGACACGTGACACAGCAGCCGACAGTTCTGAGGGTCAACAGAGGCAACAGGAAGTGCTTCGGTGAACCCTATTTCCCATCCTCTGATTGTCGTACTTCCACCAGTTGTTCCTTCTGCTCTGTCAGCGCTCGGGAATACTGCGCCACCGCCTCCAGGTTGCCCTCGGTGCTGGCGGCCTTGAGTGCGTACAGGGGCGAGTCCTCAGCGTGGACCCTCAGCAGTTCCGAGGCCCGGCCCACCGCCACCTTGTGCAGCTGGGAGAGGCCAAAGTCAGAGAATTACAAATCATGCGTGTTGAACAATACATCCAGGCATACATTCTTGATCCTCAGCAAAGATTTTTGAAGAATTAACTTTTCTCAGCTTAATGATCAACCCAGAGCTGGCCAATACTTTTCCGCTCATTCGCATCAAAAAATGTAGTCGACTCCTCTTGAGGAGTCTCATTGACAAACAGCAATTAATTAAAACTCATTCACTCCCAAAGACGTTTTTAAACGTCTTTTCAGACTTGGTCCAGAATTGGCTGGTACTGAAGGAGTTAATTAAAGAGTTCATGTGTCATCGAAAAAGCCCTTTAACTCCATAAATGAGCTTGAGCTAGCTAGCCCGGACCGCCGCTCACCTCACGTCTGAGGTCGTTGACGCTCTGGCATGACTTGGCGATGGCCACCTCCAACTCCTCTGTGGTCTCCTTGGCCTGGACTGATTGTTGCTGGACCGGGGGACAAACCAAGACGGAAGACCTTTCACACAAAGTTTAAAAAAAATAACGACTAACCTCTACATGCCTTGGCTTGTATAAATTGAAGTACAGTGGTACCTTAACGTTTGGGTGGGGCTCAACATTTCAATTCAACAGTGAAAATGGATTTAGCTCATTAACTTGACCGAATATTGAGAGTCCGTACAGCCTGGTTCCAGGCGTGCAGCAGCTGCTGCGCATCCTGCCGGGCCAGCTGGCACATGCCCAGGATGGCCTGGCGCTGCTCGTGTCCCGTGTATGGCGAGTCTGTGAAGTCCTCGGTGCGCTCCACCAGCACCTCCATCTGGCGGCCCACGCCATCCGGCAGGGAGGCGTACAGGTTGTCGCGCAGGCACTCCACGCTCGTCTGCATAAAGCCAACTCAAAGTTGGAAACAATTTGGCTACTTGTGCATTAATTGGATGGTGTGTCGAGAACAAAAGCAGCCTTTTTATCCGATTTTAGGAAAAAAAATTTCTTGACTTTATAACAGGCAAAATAATGTCGCGGTGTATTTTTTTATTAACTCTGTAGTCCTTGATGGCGTTGTAGACGCTCGCGGGAACAATGCTGTCAGCGCAGCCGCGAGCCTCCGTCACAATGTCCACGACCTGCTCGAGGGCGCAGCGCCACCGCC